TCCAGTCACCAGAGTTGTGCTACATCCTTGGTGATACAGCATTTCAAAAAGCCAACTGCCAACTGGAAAAGATGTTGAGACAGGGAATGCCAGAGTGCTGTGCATGTTAAAGAGAAGTTAAAGATCTAAGCTCAATCAAGTTCTCAGCTTGGCTTACAATATTAATAACATGGATAGGATTTTTTAAATGTTGCAAACTTTCAAATTATGATAGCATAAGAGGACAGCAGAACTGAAATGTGATCTGGTGAGAATTACTGAGGAAGAGCCAGCAACTCTTTGAGGCAGCTATTGAAAATTGGGAAGCCTGTTGGTTAGCCCTAACCCTAACTCTAACCTTAACCCTGGGGTTAAGCCCTAGGCTGACCTACCAGCTGCTCCACAGAAGGATGATGTTTCTGTAAAGGTTACAGCCTTGAAAAGTCCGTGGGCCAGCCCTTCTCTAGTCTTCTCCAGGTGGGCCTGAATACACATCGCCTCAACAGCAGTGGGTTTGGATTAGGGGAGTGAGGGAGCGGGTCTCTCTCCCTTCCTCCTCTCCCTCTTCCACGCTCCTCTCTTTCTGCTGTAGAGGGAAGACCTTCGCTCAGCACCTGTAAACCTGGTCCCTCGGGGCCTTCACGATCCTTGCATGCACTTCTGTCTTCCCCGGGTGAGTCTGTGCCGACGTTTCTCTTTTCATAGTTCACAAGTGACTAGGTTTAGGACACGCCCTAGATCATGCACCTAACAAAGAAAACACCGTTCCCAAATGGAATTTCATCCCAAATGGAATTTCACGCACAGGTATGGAGGCAAGGGTTCCAACACAGTGCAAAAAGGCCTTCCAGCTGACTAGACGGACTCACGGAGCATTAGAACGACGTCAGTTTATGTGTGGAACCTGCGAGAGCAGAACCCCAGAGTGTCAGCAGTCTCCCATGTTTGACGAGGTGGACATTTACCACTTTTCTATCACTTGCTAATTACTTGGAGTTTTCCTTTTCCATCAGGTTTCAGCCTTACAAAGATCCCCGCTTTCATTGTTTGCACTGCTACTGTTTTAGTAGGGTTGTGTTCCAATCTGATGATGAAAGGGTGATTAAACAGTATAAAAGAGGATCCTGCTGTGGCACTGAGAACAGTCTGCAAGGAGGCAGAGGGGCAGTTTGGAGCAAAGACTAGTGGAGCCAGCGTGGTGATCGCCCAGGAGAGCTGACGGCGCCGGAGAACAAGTCAGGCTATCGGAGGAGATGACAAGGAGCTGCGATCACAATGACATCTGAGGGGAGGAGAGGGGTGGGATTGCCAAGAACATGACCGTAGGAAAAAGGAAAGGTTGGGCCCTTAGTCACTGCACGATTGAGAGGTCGGGAGAAAGAAGGGGCACAAATGGATGAACCTGAGAAGACTTTTCCAAGGAGACTGGAGGAAATGCACGAGGGCCCTGTTCCGTGCAAGGCAGGAAGATGAAGCACTTCAAAGAGGCATGATGGAAGACGCGCACCATCATCAGTCACGGAAGGGCTGGAATCCACAGAAGCCGAAGTCAAAGGAGGGATCCGTTTCAGAGCGTAAATTGTGAGAATCCAGTGTGCAGAAGGTGATGGATGACAATTGGAGCTCAAGATTCATTTGTGGAGCTGCATAAGAAATCAACCTCCCGAGAACTACCCGTTTCTAAAACTTAGGGAAGGGAGGAAAGTGGTCACTAAACAGAGTGTTTGGGAGAGAGGCGTATACAATTTCGAAGGCATAAATCTGACCTGAACACTTAAAAATTTGTCAGTAGACCCCCCCCCTATGACAGGGGCTGGACCTGATCTGGTTTCCAAATTTGTCTGTATTTTTGGTTTTTATTGTTTTGCTTGGTTCTTGTTTGATCCCATTAGAGTGTATCTCAGAGGTGTATGTCAATGGAGGTCACCCTCTTGAAGCTATGCTATATGCTTTCCAGGTTTTGGTTTATGAAACCCAGGATTGATGAACCTAAAGGGACACCAAGTAGAATAAGGGGTTTGAAAGGAAGGGGTACAGTGGTGGAGATGGGGTCAAGGGGAGCCGACATGAAGGAGTCCATGTAGAAAAAGAATGTTTGGAAAGTGATTGTGGTAGCAATTGTACAATCTACTTGACATGATTGAAATTTGGAATGTTATATGTATTAAATCCCAACTAATAATAATTTAAGGAAAGGAGACACGGTCAAGTAACATGAGGGCTGAGATCTGACCAATAGACTAAACAGTGGAAACCATCGATGGCCCGGCAAGGGCAATATGGTGGAGTGGTGTGATCCTGTGAGTCTTTTATATAATATTTAGGGGGTGGAAATCAAAGGGTAACATAAGTAATTATGCTGGCCAATGGACCATTTGTGAGTTATTGCCGGGGTCTGAGTTTGTATAGCACCAGTCGAACTGTTTGAATGAATTACAGGCTTTGATATCACCGACCTGTACACATCTTGAGATAGATCAAATGGACAAGTCTATATTACGGTCATCGACCTCAATAGTAACAATCTATGGACATTTCTATTTATCACAGAAGTGGTCGAATCCACTTGTATAGGTTCATGCTTGGAAATGACCGCACTAATAAGGGTGAAATAAGAGAGATTATGGAGATTATTTTAAGTGCCTCAAGCCTGATCTTGGCCATCCAATTGTATAGTACTAGCTGGAAGGGAAGCAGGTGTTTTAAGGACTTGACATAGCTGAAGTAATTGATACCCTTAGCGCTCTGGTGTGTGATTCAAGGTGGAACAATCTTAGGTCAAACAGGTTTCTGTCTGTCAGACTGCCGAGTCTTCCTGCCTTTATCTTTTACTTTGACGGAATTGAGGCTGGTTTAATTCCCCAAGACTCAGAACAGCTGCTCAGATAGACTTGTGATACAGGCATGAAAGGAACGACATTAAAGTTAAATACTACTTTCCTATCTTGAGAGCCTTTTATAAAGGTATCGCCTTCCAAAGTGTCTTGACTAGCACATGAAGTTTACAACAAAGAGCAGTGGGAAGAAAAACATCGAAATATTAGAAGGGGTAGTTAAAGGGAAAAAAATTGATAGGAGATTTAATTGTTCATTTTCTCTATTCACAAATCAAAAATTGAAAGGAAATCATTAGGGTATTTTGCCTGCTCTACCTTTTTTCCACAGGTTAATTTCCAGTCTCATTTCTGAAATGGGAGCATAATGAGCAATCAGATACTTCTCTGTCTGAAACCCTGTTGCTTAAAGGTATTTTTTGGTAATCTAAATGTTCCATATTGTCGTAGAAGCCACAGAGGTTCAAAGTAATTAAGCAGGTGGACAACATGTCAAGGTATTCCCTGCTTTCTCTGCTTCCTGAATGGCATCCTTCTTCCTTCTCCAGGCAGTCCAAGAGGGCAGCCATCCCAAACGTGGAGAAGTGGAAACCTTCTTTAGAAGTGGGTCCTCGACATAACTTGGATTGCTTATACTGCGTTTAGCAGATTGGCTTTGTCGACAGTCCTTCTAGTTAAAGTTCTCCAGGGCTCAAGCCACACCGGAACGGGGCTGTTGGCTTGCTTTCACACTCCCTTTACGTCTGTGGACCAATTGACATAGAAACACTTCCTAGAGCTGGGGTCGTAGAACAGAAGAGTAAACATCTGTGAAGTATTCTCCTCATCAGAAATTAACTGCCGAGATTTTTGGAAAACATCATTTAAACTCCAGGTGGATTAAACAGCCAAATTGTGGCCGGAGTGGGGGCACATTTTTCATTTATTTTACAATAATCTTTGGAACTTGCAGAGCTACTCTTTCTAATGTGAGTCGTGGTTTTTATGGCGTTTGTAGGCCATTAAAATTCTTGATGTCTTCGTGTGTGTTCATATCACATTGTCTTGATTTTATGGTTCCTTTAAAATATAACATTTGTAAAAATCAGAGACTTGTTTTAGTTTTGCATTTTTTGTTTGGTTTTGATTTGCATTTTAACCACCTTGGTGTAATATCTTTATTTCATATCTGTTTTTCTAATATCCCACTTAATTTATTCTTATAATAAATATGAAAAAGCTACTAAGAAAGGGATAAGCAAGATCAGATTGTATAAGAAGTGAAGTATGGAGAATGAGCAGTCACCCCTTCTTTCATGTAATTAGAAGGAAAAGTATAAATATGACTAGTGTCATAATTAGTCCAAAGCTGGTATAGTTTGTATATTCTGTAGAGAGTGATGCTTGTTGAGTGTGGTTGTTGTTGTCGTTGCTGTTAGTGGCCTCTGAACTGATTCCAACTCACGGAAACCCATGTGTCTAGAGGAGAACTGCTCCATCGGGGTCTCAAGGCCCTGACTTTCAGGAGCTGAGCCTCAGGCCTGTCTTTCCGAGCGTCTCTAGGTAGATGGACCTAGGAACCTCCAACCCTTCAGCTAGTCGTCAAGTGAGTAACCATTTTCACTGCACTGAGCTGCTAACTGGAAGGTCAGCAGTTCAAGCTCACCAGCCGCTCCACAGGTGAAAGACTAGGCTGTTTGCTCCCAGAAAGGTTTACAATCTTGGAACCCCTGCTCTGCCCAATGGGGTCACCATGAAATCATCTCTATGGGTTTTTGAAGGCTTTGTGATCTGAGTTAATGGGCCATATGGCACCTGCCTGATAGTCACCTCTGGGTTTTAAGACCTGGTGCTACTTCAAAATTCACTGGCAATTTTTATTGCGCTTTCTCCTTCTCCTAATGCCTACCAGGAAACACTGTGCTTAGCATCATTTAGGATGGTCTCTTTATAATACATTTCAAATTGTGTCTTTATGACTGAAAACCTTTCCCCATCACCACCCTCCTCCCCCACCCCCCTTGTTCGTGTCAAACACCTCCCATCTGGAGCCTATCATTTTCTTAGGACATTTTCCACCAACTCGTTAAAGAAGTATCATTCAGATATGTTCTAAGGATAGACCTGTATCCTTTCAGATGACAGTGACCCTTCTGCATGATAAGACCAAGATTCAGTTGACGCCAATCAATTCTTTTCCGTGAACAGGCCATCTATCATCCTTATGAAGCGAAGTTGTCAGAAGTGCACTGTGGCAAGGGAGCGGATTTGCTTGAGTATACCAGCTCTCTCTGTGAGAGACCTGTCTGACCTCAGGCCTGTGGTGAGTTTGCCAGAACGTAGGATCCTCTTGATATAACCTTGTCCTTGACCAAAACTAAATGCTACAGCACTATTGTGCCGCAGGAAGGGAATTGATGGTTTCATTAATAATAGATCTCTCAAAGGGGGAACCGATCACAAGGATCTACACATAACCCCCTCCCTGGGGGATGGACAACAGAAAAGTGGGTGGAGGGAGACATTGGTCAGTGTAAGATGTGAAAAAAAAAAAACAATTTATAAAGTATCAAGGGTTTGTGAGGGAGGGAGGGTGGGGGAGGAGGGGAGAAATGAGGAGCTGATACCAAGGACTCAAGTAGAAAGGAAATGTTTTGAGAATGATGATGGCAAAAAATGTGCAAATGTGCTTGACACAATGGATGGATGGATGGATGGATGGATGGATGGATGGATGGATGGATGGATGGATGGTGATAAGAGCTGTATGAGCCCACAATGAAATGACTTTAAAAATAAATAAAATAATAGCTGCCTCATGCATATTTAGATATGACCTCAGTTTTTCCAGCTGTTGGCTGTCATAGACAAGGTTATGGATGCATTTCATGAAACTTTACTGGTTCATGGCTAGATGGTACTCCTCAGCCTCCCTAGTAGGTTGGAGCAGCCATGGGAATAATTCTCTTCGAACATCTACCTCCCAGTGCCTGAGAATGATTCTCCCTAGTCTGCCTGTATTGTCTTCTATATTTCTGGAGTCAGGAGTCCTAGACATTTCTCAGACCCTCTGATCTGGTAGGAGCTCTGGTGGCGTAGTGGCTATATTGTTGGACTGCTAACCCCACTGTCCACAGTTTGAAATCACCAGGGGCTCCGCCGGAGAGACAGAGAGACAGAGAGACGAGGCTTTCTACTCCATGAACAGTTACAGTGTCTGAAACTCAGAGCAACAGTCTTCCCTGTCCTACAGGGTCACTGTGAGTTGGCATCTGCTGGAAGACAGTGAGGTTGTTTGTTTGTTTTCTGGTATGGTGCAAGGAGACATAGTGGGGCTGCTGGACTGCTAGCCTCAATGTCAGTGGTTCAAGGTCACTAGCCACTCTGTGGGAGAAAGATGAGACTATGCTCCAGGAAAGATTTACAGCTTTGGAAACCCTCTGCTGAGGTACTGTGCTTGGGAATCAACTCAACAGCAGTGGATTTGGGTGGTTTTATGGCATGGTGTAATAGGTGAAGAAGCTCTCGTTCTTAATGATGGGAGGTTGGAGGGAGAGGTAAAACCTCAGCTATCTAACTTCTCACAGTTGGTAAAGGCAGTATGTATCAAATGACTTTATGTAAATGTCCCTTAATAAAGTTTGTGTTTATTTTTGAAGGCATACTCTTTAAGCATAAAACTTTAAAAGCATGGTGAATAATGTTGGAAGTTCAGATCCAATCTGGCTTTAGAAGAATAGGGGGGAAATCAGAAAATATAACTTTTAACATTATATTTGAAAGTATTTAAATTATGTATGTGTGTTTTATGCAAAGGTACTTACATGTATCTATCTGCTAAAAGGATCAGAGTCTTTCTACTGACATTAAAGTATGAACAAAGACATTATTTTTGGTGTTGTTGTTGTTCCTCAAAATTATCCTTTTCCCTACTTAATTATGATCTCTTCTAAGAGAAGCACTTGTAAAATAGGTTTACACCTCTTTAGTCACATTTTAAAATGACACCTGAATTAAAATTTGCCAGAATAAATTTTTAGAAGGCATATTTTATCTGAACTTCTCAATGAATGAAAATAAAGAGAATTTAAGCCATTTTATTACAAAGAACATTCTATTGAAGTCTTACCTAATTTATAATTTTCCTGATTTTTTTTAACTATGATCTGCTTTAAAACAGACTCCCAGACAAATCTTCGTCATCACTGTCTGACTTAGAGCAAGGCTGTTACGTGCCATTGAGTCTGTTCCAACCCTCTGCGACCCTGTGCACAACCGAGTGGAACATTCCCATCTTCCCACTTGTTCCTGTGCCTGAGCCCACTGCGGCAGTCACTACGTCACTCCATCTCATGGAGGAAGACTCAGAGAAATAAGAAATGTTCATATTGTTTGTTAGAACGCTTCTAGTCCTATATCCACTCCCCACAGCCCCTCCTGCCCCCCAGTATTTGTGGGTCAGTGCCCTGCAAAAACATGGTGGATACAGAATTACAATGCACTCATTAGGTCTAATTAGGATCAAATATTTACTATGCACCAGCAGCTGCATTAAGTGTACTTCCTGGCATAGAAATGGTTTGTAGCTACTGTGCTGGAGCAGCACCTACACATGCATGGCTGAGCTAACTGCTGTGGAGATGGGCTCCTGCCTTGTGGAATGTCTTTCCTCTCAGTAGAAGCTTTATATTTCTGGCTAGGTTGCCCACTAGCCTTCTAAGGGTGGTATATTATATCCATTTAAAAACTAAATATTATGGATACTAAAATGTAGTAGTTTGTTTTCTGATAAACATCCATTAATTGCCTCAAACGTGGTGCTGATTCTTTAGGATATATATTTCACTAAGACTAAGTGTGTCAAAAGTTACTAGCAGTTTGGAAAGATAAATATAAAAACAGACCGGCAGCTGGGTTTAAGTTGTCACTTCTTTCGATCTTTTCCACTCAGTAACTCTGAATTCTTTTGCTTCACATATCATTTCTTCTCACTGGCATGGTTTTGAGGGAGGATTTTCCTTTTTTGTTTTTTTTTAAAAAGGATGATGACGCTGAATATATTCTTTTAAAAGTGTTCCACACAGTGCATGTGTTGTCTATCAAAGGATTCTAAGCTAAGTAACAATTGTTACTCAAATCCATTTTCCAGTTGTTGTAAAACATATATTATCAGATTTGCTATTTTAACCACTTCTAATAAGTGTAAAATTCAGTGGCGTTGAACCTCTTCACAATGTTGTGCAACTGTCCCCACTATTGATTTACAGAATTCCTCCATCAGCTCAAACAGAAACTCTGTACTTATTAAGCAATTATTCCCCATTCCCCTCCTACCCAAGCCCATGGTAACCACTAATCTACGTTCTGTTCCTAGGCATTTGCTAACTCTAGATATCTCATGTAAGTGGGATCATACAAGAGTTGTTCTTTTATGCCAGCCTAAGTTCTTTTAATCAACGTGCCTATTATCTAGTAGTGCCAGTTGTAGATTTCTGTTTACAACGAAGTCATGCATTGTATTTTTTAAATAGTGCTTTGTTTTGTTTTCCTACTGAGATTCCTTGGATCTGGTTTCACAACTTTGGAACTATTAATATTTGCGGCTACATAATCCCTGAATGTGGGGACTGTCTTGTGTGCCAGAGGATGTTTAATGGCATCCCACTAGATGCCATCAAGTGGATTCTGACCCATAGTGACCGTATCATACAGTGTTGAACTTCTCCTTAGAGTTTTCAAGACTCCGTCTTTAAGAGAGCAAGCAGCTTCATTATTCCCAGAGGAGTAGCTGGTCGGTTTCACTGCCAACCTTGCTGTTAGCAGCCCGATGCTGACCCGTGGGTTTGCCCAGAGTGCTCTTCAGAGTCATTTCATCACAATAGAGATCCCTGCTCTAGATCATACATATTTCTAAAGTGTAACTTCTGTGAAAAGCTGATTTGGCTTCTTTATAGGTGGTAACTGTCATTAAAACCTTCTCCAAAGCAGATTAGACGTAGTATCCAAATTGTTCCTGTACCTACGTTATCCTGTGACGTTTGTTAGCCCTCTGAGGAATGGGGCTGGGAATTCAGAAGAAGGAGCCACAAAATAAAATTCATGTAGTCATTTTCCTCTATTTCCTTTCTCACCCTAGTCTCTTCCCTCTCAGATATTCCATCTTACAAGCATATGTGCACGTGTGCATGCATGCGCACACACACACACACAACTGTTGCTGTAGTTAAACCATTGTCTGAGGACCAGCAGGGCTGTCCTCAAACCATCCTCATCCCACTTGGCCGAAGGTGGACTTTACCAAAAGATTGGTTTCCGGCCCTTTCCTGCCTTGTTTGGCAAAGCATCACAAATGACCAGCAAACCTCTATTCATCTCATCTTTTGCCCTCAGCCTTATCTTCTCACGGTTTACCATTGGTCATCCTCATCTTTGGACATTGAGAGCTAGTTGACACATCCAGGCTGATCTAGATCTAGCCACCCGTGTCGTTCTCATGTAGATTTTGTTTCTTTTTCCTAGTCTCTACCTCAATTCTTAGGTGAAAGCCCAGGAATGCGTCCCATTTCCAATTTAGAGTCTACTGATTGTAACTATTCATATTACATAACAATCCCTCTTCTTATTAGCTTGAGCACATATTTAGAGCTTGTATCACGAATTATTCATGTGCTGTGGTTTTGTCTCCTCAAACAACTGTCTTAGGAACCCAGCTGTTTTCTCACAGCTCTGGAGGTCCAAGTGCACATCAGCGTCCACCATATTAATTTATTCCTGGTCGTTACCCTCGGGGCGTTCCCTGACTTCTAGCACATCCTCACCTGGCATCTCTCCTCTCCTCTCTTCTCCCCTCCCCTATGAGTGGGCCTCTGTGTCTATTCTTATCTTATCTTTTGTACCACAGAAGTGATTAGGTATAGCATCCACCCTGCAATTATATGGTTCCATTCACATGGACAAGACATATAGCCAAACACATATAGTTAGGGACACAATTCAATCCATGGCAAAAGCTACAAAATTCCTTCAGGCAGTAACCATGTGATATAATTTTTCACATGCCTTGAAGTGCCACTTATGTATTAGGAGTTCGATTTGCTAATTATTAATCTAATTTGAATTCCAACTCCCACAAAAAGTCAAAGAGGAGAGAGAAGATGATACCAGAAATAAAAATAAAAGAGATGAGAAAGTGCTACTATGTAGTTTTATAATTCAACCCTATGCTTCAAATCATAGGGTTTTGAAAGCCAAAGTAGATAAATAAAATAAAGGACCTTACATGTGCTCATCTCTCTCTCTCGTG